ATCCTTTGATGATGATCTCTCTCGTCGATTAGTTTTCATAGCTTTCTAATCTCTCTCATAACTTTCATTCTCTCAAACTCAAAACACTCGAAAGATCTTTACACTAGCTTTTAGCGTAGTGCAGTGGAATTGTGGATTCCTTGGCCGGATAATGGATTCTGACACAGCTTCTGCCAGTGCTAGCATAGCCAGTGGTGCTCCTTTGGTTTTGTGCTTTTCGACAAAGGCATTATCCTTCACAAGAGTGGTGACCTTTTGACAAAGAGCTATTGGAGAGGTGTTGGTTCTGGATGTCTTCTGTTGTCGGCTCTGATTTGGTTTGGCTGTGTTTGTTCTAGCAGCAAAGAAGGCATCTCCATTCTCCTTTGTTGAGTGCTTCCAGCTTCCTCTCTCATTCAGTGGAAGAGGAGCACTGAAATGCCTTGTGAGTCTTCTGCTCTCTCTGATGGTTTCCATTGTCAGCTCATTCAAACCTCCTCTTCCTCTTGATACTGTATTCTTAATACAGAGAACGTGGTGTGATCTTTTTGGGACTCTGAGACCAAGATGTCTGGCCTTACAGATGATACACTTCTTGAGTGGATCAAAGACTTCTGCTACCTCTCCTCCCAGTGTTGTTTGGGGTCCTTCTTCTCTGGCTCTCTTGGATCTGTTGTTGTTGTTGTGGTTGGAGGCGAGTTGATATGCTCTCTTCTGTTGCGAGTTCCTCTGTTGACTTTGGCAGCCCATTCCTCCATTTGTGGCTGTTGTTGTTGTTGGTGGTGTTGGTGTTGGTGTCTCCATGTTGCTGCTGCTGCTGCCGCTTGCTTTTTGGCAGAGATAATGACTGGTGTCGAGCGGCCGGAGATAATGACTAGTGTCGAGCGGCCGGTTGCGCCATTGTCGACGGAATCCTTGTTTCGCGGAAACAGAAACACGAAAATGGTGACTAGGTAGCACAGTTTCCCTGTAAATACTTATAAATGGTACGTTAACTTATGCTGACGTATTTGCTGATGTATTAGCTTGATTAGCCAATCAGATTTCTGCCTTTCACCGCTTTCACCCTCCATTTCGATCTTATGATCCTCCTGTTTGCTCCACAATCCACATGCAGGCGAACCCTTCACTTTGGCGCATCATAACAAACTTACTTACTTGTCATGTCGTCTTCTTCTACTACTGAGGAGCCTGTATCGAAGCGGCAGAGACTACAGGATGCTGCCTCTGCCATCTTGCTACTAGATCGGAAAGATCTTTGGATTGGAAGGATCTTTCTGCAGAATTCACGTAACAGATCCTTCCCTTTGTGGGCATGGGCCAGTATGCCTTTGTGGGTGGTGTCAACAAACAACTGAATCAGCTGTACACGGAGTATGGTGCTGCCGTCAAGGATCCTCCACTGGTGATGAAATCTAGTGAACACGAACGCGCATGGGACGGATTTGCAGCGACAAGCACTGACACGTTCTATGGCAGCACCTTTTGTAATCTGAAACTTGCTAAATACTGGCTTGATGATACATCCGGCAAGAACCACATGCGGACAGGTGATGCATTCCGGGTTATTGCCAAAGTTGGAAATCTAACAGTTCTGCAATGGGCCCTTGAACACAAGTTGTTTCCGTGGAGTAAACTATTTGAAGGTGCATGCAGTGATGCTGCTGCTCATGGTCATCTTGACATCCTCAAGTGGGCTCGTGAGAAGGAATGTGAATGGAAATCAACTACTTGTTTTTGTGCAGCTCGACATGGTCATCTAGACATTCTCAAATGGGCGCATGAGAATGGTTGCCCTTGGGACCATTGGACATGCAGTGCTGCAGCATCATCGGGGCACTTGGACATTCTCAAGTGGGCACGTGAGAATGGTTGTCCATGGAATGCCGACACATGCACTGAAGCTGCAAAGAGTGGGCATCTCCAAGTACTGAAGTGGGCACGTGCCAATGGATGCCCTTGGGACGAGAAAACCTGCAGGAACGCTGCTGAAAGTGGTCATTTAGAATTGCTGAAATGGGCAAACGAGAATGGCTGCCCATGGGACGAAACTACATGCTGTGCTGCTGCTCTAGATGGTCACGGATGGGATGCATGCACAAGCTGTGGTCACACTGCTGAAACTGATCATTTAGTTGTTCTCAAATGGGCTCGAGAGAATGGATGCCCATGGAATGAATTTACATGCAGTTTTGCTGCTACAGGTGGTCGATTGGATATTCTAAAATGGGCTCGAGAGAATGGATGTCTCTGGGATGCCGAAACATGCTCAGCTGCGGCTGAAGGAGGACATTTGGAATTGCTGAAATGGGCTCGTGCCAATGGATGCCCTTGGGACGAGACAACCTGCATGAAAGCTGCTGAAGGAGGACATTTTGAATTGCTGAAATGGGCTCGAGAGAATGGATGTCCCTGGGATGCCGATACATGCTCAGCTGCGGCTGAAGGAGGACATTTGGAGATTCTGCAGTGGGCTCGTGAAAACGGCTGCCCAGAAGAGGGCCAAGAGGACGAAGAGTGGTGATTCCGAGGCAGAAGAAGAGGATCAAGGATTGATTGCCAGGCTAGACCACCGGTGCTCAAGGGTTTCCCAGTTGGTTGCGTCTGCTGTCAGCCGCTGGCTAGCTAGCTATCCGTGGAGCGGTAGTGCATTGCTATTCTATGACTGCTAGGGCAAATACTTTTGTAGTTGAAAAGATAGGTTCTGTTCTAAATGTTTTAGAGTCGCAAATGTCTGTCTGTAGAGAAGCAGGAAGGAGGCAAGGAGGTCGTTTTGCTTGTTGCATTTAGCAGGACTGCTTTTTTGGCTTACAACGTTTTGGTGTACTAGCTAGCTAGCATTATCCACATTTCACCTGCCCTACCCCCAGTTATGGTACTAAGAGACTGGCTCAGCAACAGCCGCGTGTGTCCGCAACACCAAGCCACCGGATCCAGCTATGAGTTGAAAATTAATTGATTGTGTCAGCACTGGCTGGGATGACCTAATGTCTGGCGTTGTAGACATGATTCGATTCCACAGGAAGTGCCAAATATGCTCTCGTGGGCCGTGGTACGTGCACGGCGGGTGCGGCTTTGGACTGTCTTTTGTGTAACCGCTTCTCTGTTGCTCTTCCAAATCAATTTCTTTCTTTGCTGGCGCAAACTTGGGATGTTTCAATGCCGACGCTTGGCTGTCGTACCGCCTCCCTGTTGCTTCCACAAATAAATCATTCGCTTTTCTTTGCCGGTGTAAACTCGGGATGCTTCAACGCCAATTTCTCTTGGAGAATGGCATTGGCCAAATGAAATGTGTGCGCTGATTTGAAGTAGTTCCCTTGCGCTGCAAGATGAAATCCATCCGTCCACTGGACGCCCTCAGTAAAATTGGCCCAATGGATAAAGTGGGCGTTTCGAATGTAATGTTTGGTAAATTGTCGTTCCATTTCCTGGTCAAAAATGGCTGTTTGATTGCGAGTTTGCGCGGGGTACATTTCATCGTAGAAGGGTGCTTGTTGACTGGAAAGACAAAAGATGAGGTAGAACTTTTGGTGTTGGATGCAAGTTTGAATGACGGGATCTCGGAAGAAGGGTTGTACCTGTGTATCGTAGACTGCCATGCCATTGTAGCCCAACTGGACACCACCTTGTAGGATGAGCAGGACGGGTTTTTGATCTGGCTGTGAACAGTCAATAATCTCGTTGGAATCTTGATTGAGTTTGTATACTCCCTTTTGCAATCGATTGATATTGAAAGTAACCTCAACTTGATTGTCGAGGGGTAAATGAGAGCAGACATGATACTGATAGGGTTTAGCATTGGCCTTGTAATGAAGACCTGTGATACATTTGTCATTATTGCTGAATTGACCATCACATTGGCAAGCTTGAATGGCAGATCCTCGAATCAAGTCATTGGAGAGTGCCATCATGAGCCCATAATGCGCATGACGTGACAAGGAATCGCCCTGATAAATGATTTTGGAAAATTGATTGATGGTGTCGCAGAGTTGAGGAGGTGGTAGCATGGGCAAATCACAGTCATGGTATAGGAACTTGGAGGGGGTATAATTGGCCCCCGCGTATCGTTTTTGAAGCGGCGTTTGAATGGAGGGATCATCAAAGACACGTAGTCCGTAGCGAATTGCGTCCTTCACTTGTTGTGTGGTACTGCAAATCTTGGTAGATTGAGGCGCAAAGTCACTTGGTTGCATGGAAAACCGAGGGCGCGCTGTTTGGGTTGTTTCCAGCTCTTCATCATCTTTGATAGGAATAAAATTGTGGGACTCACAAAATTCAAAATCTGACAAAGGAGGAGTCCAATATGAAGTTCCTTGAGACGATGATGTCGCAGTGCCAGAGGATGGTCCAGGAGCCGTGTGATATCTCGACGAATTGGTGTCTTCCAACTTGAAGACCGAAGGAATCTGAAGGCGTGAATTGGATCTGCAATACCCTGTCGTTTCTAGCAAGCCAAGCGAACACAAAATGGTCGCACACACCAAGTAAGCTTTGCCCGCTCTGCTTCCTGTGGAGGGCGTAGTCGACTTGGAGGATGTTGGCTTGGAGGATGCCGTTGGGGGGTCCATGGTTGATGATTGATGATGCCAATGGGAGGATACTGCAAGTTTTTTGGTTGTGTCAAATGACCCTTCGTTCGGAAAAATGACTTGGTCCGGACCGAAATAATGTTGCAGCCATACCGAACGTAACGGTACGTACCGGTACGGTTCGACTGTACCTCTACAGTACCGGTCCCGGGTGCCTGGAACAGTCCGAACGCCAGAGATTGAGAGCAAGATCCAAGGTCGCTTCAGGCTCCAGGCTTCAGCCGTGGATGTGTCCCTGACTGGGAATTCAATCATCGACTGGGCGACCAAGGCACCACAAATCCAAAAAACAACCCGTTTGAACTGCTTTACGATGACAACAGAAATCTGCGAAATCTGCTGTTCTGAAGCTCACGATGCTGATTTCTGCCGCCTCTCCCAGTGCTCGCACAAAAGCTGTGGTGCTTGCATGTCAAAATGGGTGCAGATTTTGGAGTCACAAGGGGCCACAGGAGCTGATTGCCCCTTTTGCAGGGTCGCGTTGACTGAGGACGACATCATTGCTGTTTTGGGCCGCCCTTTTAAACCCCTAAAAGCAATGATAGGTGCTCTGGGCAACAATGAGCAGGAAATAGACTCGCTGACCCTGCAGTGGATCCAAGAGCACACGACCCCTTGTCCCAGCTGCGATACGCCCATTGAAAGATCCCAGGGTTGCGATCACATGAAGTGTTTGTGTGGTACCAAGTTTTGTTATGGGTGTGGCCTCTTTCGCAGGCCACACGCACCTGCAGGTTCAGAATGGTGCATGTGCCGAAGAGTATGTGGTCGCTGTAATCTTGTCCGCCCTGGGCATGCTGTGCCCCCTGGGATGGCCGTGGGACCCGAACGATGCAAATGCCGCTCCTTTTGTCATCGTTGTGGGGGCGGTGTAGGGATGCAGGCACATCGAGTGCGGTGTCGTTGCTGCCAGAGCCAAGAGGGCGGTGTGGTTGGCGACTGGGTAAGATCCACGCGACGGTGAATTTGTTGGAATGGTCTCCGCATGTGCATTCTACGTACTGTAGTGAGCCGAGTTGGCTGGGTGGTGCGTTACCGGCCTACTGCATTAGCTCGCTAGCTGGCTTTTTTTAGTGCGGCGAAGAACTTGGGCCGGACCATCCCGGTGCACGTTCCCGGCGTCAGGCTGAGACAATCCCCCACACAGTATAATACTTTCAATTGTTCTTATTATGATATGAATTTTGAATGGATTACATTGACTTGATATGCCCGGAATTGGAACAAGGAGCCAGGAATTGGAGTTGGCAATCAGTAGATTGGTTGAATCGAATCACTGGAAATTGTACGCCCGTGCGTTGCTTTAGAGAATATCACAACAATTAGAAAATATCGCAGCACTCGCAACAATCTCCGTCGGCCGCAACGGCACCACCAGTTGCAAAACAACAGGAACAAAAGAGTGCCCCAATACACAAAGAAAACAGATTTTCGTCTTCTTCCAATTTGCGACAACACCCTCGTGTGTCCTTTCCATTCTCCCTTTTCCTTCTCCTCCTTCTCCGTTTTTTCTTTGTGGTGCCATCTGTGGTCTCCGATGTGACAGTCGGATCCACGGTGGGGACATCATGTTCTTCCCATTCAACATCATCTTCGTTGCCGCGTTCCGTCATTTTTGCCATTTGTGGAGCTGGTACTTGAACAGGTGATAATGATGCTTCAAGATTTGTGGCGTATTGAGCATCTTGTTCTTCTTGGTGCAGTTTCAGTGCCAGCGACACATCGTGGTCTAAATCGCCTGAGGAAGGCACAGTGTCGCCATCAACGGTCATTTGGGGATCTGTTGATGCTGCTTGCTTTGGTTGTTCTTGGGATTGTGCATCAGTTGAGACAACCGTCCTCTTGCTGTAGTCTGGAGCTTCTGACGAGACCCACCATCTCCCCTTCTCCTCTTGCTTCACCTCGGTCTGGCTTGACATGACTCGACTCACTCCTATGTGACTTCAATCTTTCCACACTCAAATTCCAAGTTTCTCTGATCCGATTGGGAAGTAGCTGCAGCCGCCGGATTCTACCGTATGCTCACAAGACTCAATAGATCCAATGCTCTGGTCCTGGTCCTTGCTTGGTGGCTGCGGTTGCGGCTGAGGCTGAAACTTCTTTCTCTTCTATTGTTTTTGGGTTGCTGCAAGATGTTACTACGTACCAGAAAGAAGACTGCACAATATGGGTGGATGGAAGAGGCTGAGTGGCGCCATCTGTTGTTGATCTGTTCGCATGGACTTATCGTGGCGGAGTTGTTTTCAGTGAACTGCTTGACAGGGCACTGTTCTCCTTTGTTCCACTGGTCATGATGTGACTTCATTCCCACATCCGATTCCCACAGGTTTAGTGTTCGCATGTTCGCATGCATTTCTAAAGAAGATTTGCGCTCAACTACCAGCTAGCAAGCTGAGGGCCTTTTGAACTTTATCTTGTGTGTGTGTGTAGGTGTGTGTACGTTGAGTGTTGTGTGAGATGTGTGATGTTGTGTGAGATGTGTGTAGACACTACTAAGAGTTAATCTACGACGAATCTACCATTGGATGTTTATCCATGGGAACGTTGGTGTACATTGAGGAAGCATCAGCTGTGAAGAGTTTGCAATTGGGTGGTAGCTGCAGGGACATGAGCTCCTGTTTGAGATCAAAGGAGCTTTTCAGGTAGGATCTCATTGACTGAGCAAAACTGGCTGAAGCTTGGAGTACAAGCCAGATGCCCAGCCCCTCCAGCAGGCTGCCACTGTAGGAGACAATGGGCCTGGTTTTGAGGGGTGTTTTGTGGACTTTCATTGTCAAGTAGAAATAAGCAAATGGTTCCTCATTCTTCTTCATCATAGCTTTGAGGAATTTTCTCTCCTTGTCATTGCAGGCAGTGCTGCCATATTCTTGAGCCACTTCAGGAGCTGTTTCACTTTGTCTTTGTAGTGGTCAACCTTGTGGGTGGGATGAATTCATAGGTTTTCATCATCAAGGTGGTCTCGGAATGCATGTTCAATGTAGGCATGCCGTTCAATTGTCGCTGGGCCCAGGTTCTTGTCACATTGGACACCATAAGGGCATTGTTGGTCTGAGTTGGCAGAGGGACGCCGCTGGTGGGGCAGAAGTTGGCTCTGCCTCTCTTCTTCGGCTGAATTTGCTCTGGAGGAAGTTGCTGAAGCGCTGAAGGCGCTGGTCTATGACTGGAGTGGGCACCATATGGGCTGGTGGGAGCCAGTCAGACTGCAGATGCATTCGTGGATTGTATTCATCACTGCTATTGTTATTGTCTGTGTTGTTCTCCTGCATGTGGCCAATACAGAAGGCTTTCACCCTCAGGTCCCTGGAGAACCCGGTGAGGGTGCTTGATTTGATGTCATTCCAAGTGTGGGAGTATCTAGGTGTAGGAATGAACTTGTGGCACAGGCCCAACAGTGAGTAGAGGCCTGGTGGGGGCTTAATTGTCGTGGTAAGGTCGTGGTATGCAAGATTGGTTGGCCTGGCAAAGTAGTACCAGGCCGGCATATGAAGGAGTCTAGTTTGTACATTGTCGTGTAGACAGCCTTTTGAACTTTATCTTGTGTGTGTGTAGGTGTGTGTACGTTGAGTGCTGTGTGATGTTGTATGAGATGTGTGTAGGTGTGTGTACGTTGAGTGTTGTGTGAGATGTGTGATGTTGTGTGAGATGTGTGTAGATACTACTAGGAGTTAATCTACGACGAATCTACCATTGGATGTTTATCCATGGGGTATACCGTTGCTTGCTGATTTCCAAATTCTGAGCTTAAGAATTTCGCTGTTTGCTTCATCAGTGGAGCAAGCTGGGGATGGCAAAAGATACAAGCCGGGTAGGCTGTGAGAAAAGCAAGGGTACCCTGTTTGTGGTGATTTCGAAAATAGACACATAGGAGCTGGTACAGTATAGACCGAAACCAAGCTAAAATAAACCAGAGATCCAATACCTCGATGGGCTGGATGTGTGTGTGTGTGGGTGTGTGTGTAGGTGTGTGGGTGTGGGTGTGTGCCATGGCTCCCCGACAGGCCTCTAATCCAGAAAGGATGAGACGGGGGAGCCATCTAATTCTGGTTAAGGCTACCGGTAGTGTTGTATACATATGGTGCTGTTTCCCTTTCAAGGTTAAGGCTACAATTAGTGTCCCATACATATGGTGCGGTTTCCCTTGCGCGCATATGGTGCTGTTTCCCTTGCAAGGTTAAGGCTACCGGTAGTGTCGCATACATATGGTGCTGTTTCCCTTGCAAGGTTAAGGCTACCGGAACCCTTCCGTTCCTTGGCTTTTAGAAAAATGCAAGTTGAGGGCACTGGCCTCCGGCTGGCTGTCCTACGTTGCAAATAAATAGTTTACTGAGATCAAAGAAACCCAAACTAAGGGGAATTGTTGACCCAGGACGGACGATATGAATGATCAACCCAGCCAATCAATCATCAAGTTCTACTGCAAGACCGAACCGTCGTGGGTGGACGAGGCTGCATTTAGGCTTATTGAGGGAATCCCGCATGATCAAGCTCCTGCACGGCTGCGTTGTTCTCCGGGCCATGTAACTCCTGAGCGAACTCCTGAAATAACTCCTGTAATCCACGCATCATCTCAGCAGCATTATTGCGACGAATCTCCTGCAACTCCTCCATCTCAGCTGCATGGTTTCGTCGCAACTCCTCCCTCTCAGCTGCATGGTTGCGACGAAACTCCTCCATCTCAGCTGCACGGATGGGACGAATGACTGATAACGTGAGGTGGTTTTGGATCTGGGTGTATTCATCTTGACGTTGCTGCCACTCCTCCCACCTTTTAGAGATGAGCTCCAACATGGCAGTGTGTACTTCCTTTTCCATTATGTCTTTGACGAAAGCAACCTCATTGTCAGAAAGGCCGTGTAGGCTAGACATGTAATTTTCTTCCACTTGGTTTCTGATAGAAGCAACATCATGAGCAGACAAGCCACCCAGTCCAACAAGGACATTAGCTGGATTCATTTGAGGGTCATGGTCCAAGTTCTCCTCTGTGGTGAGGGATTGAACTTCATCTTGTTGCTCTTGCCAATCCTTGATGTCACTCTCATTATGGACCCCATGGTCACCCTCGTCATCATTGTCATTGTGGTTGTCATTGTGGATGTGGTTGTCATTGTCAATGTCCTTTTCCCTGTCCATGCTGTTGTCCTTGTCATTGTGGATGTTGTTGTCATTGTGAATGTCGTCGTCCTTGTCATTGTCGTTGTCCTTTTCCTTGTCGATGCCGTTGTCCTTGTCATTGTGGATGTTGATGTCCTTGTGGATGTGGTTGTCATTGTGGATGTTGTTGTCAATGTCCTTGTCCTTGTGGATGCTGTTGTCATTGCGGATGCCGTTGTCATTGTCATTGTAGATGTGGTTGTCCTTGTGGATGCCATTATCGTTGGCCACTGGAATCATGATGGTAGCTTTGAGATAAAGGAAGATGTTCATGAAGAAGAATGGTACACGTTTGGAGATGTTGAAGATGGCATTGATAATACTAGCCAGTTTAGGAATCATGAAGACTTGCTTTTCAACTTCATCTGGACGAGAGTCTCCTGGAGGACTTCCAACAAAGCGTTCTTGACGACGAAGTTTGAGCTTTTCCTCCACGATATCCATCACCTCCTTGTGGGTCTGATGCATCTCCTCCATCTCAGTGTCAAAGGCTTGACGTTTGTCATTCATCTCAGTGTCAAAGGCGCGACGTTTGTCATCCATCTTAGCTTCAAAGGAGCGACGTTTGTCATCCATCTTAGCTTCAAAGGAGCGACAATGTTGATTCCACTCCACTACATCAAGGAGCTTGTTTCGTGCAAATGGTTCATTCATCTGAAGAAGGACAGAATCGCCAGAAGACTCAATTTGATCCATGAAGTTCACCACAGCTTCGAAAGATTCCATCGAGTTATTGCCAAACTTTGCCTTGAACTTCTCAATGTCCTCTTCAGAAAGCTTGTACTCACATAGTAGGGAGTCTCGAGCACAAGTTGGTTGAGGGGAGGAGGGTGAGTTGGCCATCTTGATGCTAGTAAAAAATGATGGCTTGGTTGTTTATGGCTTGATGGCTTGATCAGATGGTTGGTTGATGAGGGCGATGGCTTGCTGATGGCTGATGGCGAAAAAGATATCCTTCGGAGTTGCTTCTGGTTGCTCGGTTGCTCGGTTGCTCGGTTGCTTGGTTGCTTGGTTGCTTGGTTGCTTGGTTGCCTGTTGTTGATGGCTTGAATTTATGAGAGTCTCGTCAAAGGCAGGGAGTAATGAATATCTTTCATATCTTTGGCTTGCTTTGTTGTCGATGAAAGCTTCCACGCTACTAGAAAGCTACTAGCTGAAGCTTCCACACGTTCCGCATTGGAATTGGACCATGGAATACATAGATTCCCTGCCACAATCTACGATATCACACTTCGAGGCCTCCCGCGGGAGACCAACTTCAATGAAAGGCCAACCGTTGGCGGTTTGGTTTGGCAACCAAGAATAGAATTGGGACATTTTCAAGTCATTTACCGAGCGATTCCAGACAGTTTCCCAACCATTCTTTTACAGTCCACAAGCCCAGCCCGTGGCAAGCAATGATCATTAATCGTGGAGCTGAAGCTGTTACTCTAGCTAGCTAGCAAGTACATCTTTGGACTTTGGACTCAAAACTTGAATTTAATCGGAAAGTCCACACAAGATACTAGATCTAAGGCTTTTGCCATAAATGTTGGAATGTCAACACGAGAGACGAGAGACCTCTAGACTTTTGACTCGGCTGAACTCGGAACAAATAAATGACCAGAAAATGATACACGTACATGGCACATGTACATGTAGCTGTGAAGGTTCGAAGCAGGGCGGAAATCAATGTGGTGTTTCAGCTGCTCTGTGGCACGCATTGGAACCTGGGTGCTGCGTCTTTTCTCTGCTTCTACCCCCGCGGGGGTCCTCATCAGAGGAGCCTCGAAGCACTCTATTTTGAACCTCCATGGCGTGAAGTCCTTTCTCTAGCTAGTGCTAGTACCTAGGACAGCAAGGTATTTTTGATTGGGTCTAGCTTGCTGTAGACTGTTTCCTTACGTCCCAGGCCGCCACAGTAAGAGTCTGGATAGCCAACCACTAGTAGCTACATGTAGTCTACTGGACCGTCCGACGTTTTTCACTCAAAAGATTTTCTAAAAATATTTATCATATACTAGACCACCTACTGAATAACCGTTTAAATACAATCCTTAAATCTTCGAACAAATCCCATTAAACACGCCCTTAAAAAAACAACACACCTTACACCAACAAGCCCAAAGTTCTGAAAACCACACCCTATAAAGCCTTCGCGATTAATCCCATAGAAACAAAGGCCGCGTTGGATCACGGCGCGCTCTACAAGGGCGCCCTAAATAAAGACAAGCCCTCCTAAACAAGCTCCCGCTTAATAAGTCCTGACAGAGACCTCTCAAAGAGAACAAGTCTCCCTACTTCTCAGGACTGTGATCCGACCAACCTCTTCGTTCTCAGTTCGTGTGTCGACTTCGAAGTGTCTTGCTAGAGTACGGTAAGATGCAAAGGGTTATATCGCTTGATAATGCGAGTTAATACCAAATCGTCACGCCTTTTTCAGTACTGCGCGATCGCGACTTTCAAGACTCCAGACACCAATTCGTCTCGAGCACTCTATCACATACGGTCTCGGCTGTACCACTCTATCTCAGGGCGACTCCTGCGAACTCCTCGACTACTCAGGACTCACTTGCAATAGTGGAATCTCACTCGACTTCCTGTCTATGATGTTGATGTGTGAGTCGAGATCCCCTACAACGTCTACGTGCGTATAAGGTAATAGTGTATCCTGCGTGGTGCCGCCATGCGTCATCTCTCTCTTTCCACGCCAGCCCGCA